TGGCCGGCATGACTAAACACCAAGGCGCACGGAACGCTGTTACCTTCCCACCGAAGTGGTACCTATTTATCTACTTGCAATTTCTTGCTTTCAAACTGCTAGGTTGGCAGGAGCTGGAACTAGAGACAGGAGCTCACTCCGTTATGCGGCACCCGGGTCTCGAACTGCTGAACTACTGACCTTCCACAGCCTGCAGTTCAGCTTCTTAACCACTTGAGCCACCGCAGCTCCACAAAAGTGCATACCCTGCCACAAATGTGGTTGGTTTTTAAGGTGCTGCTGGACTCTTACACTTTTCTGTCCCCAACTCAGCCCAGGCAGCGAAAAGTCCAAACGAAGCAGACTTGCTGCTCTCCCTTTCCAAAAGGCTCGGGGATAAGGTGCCAATCATTCTAGAAGTTCTCCTTTTAAACGGGAAAAAGAGGAAGACCGTCTTTCCCCTGAAGTCTCACAAATCTAATTCTGTATGTATGGAACAAAAGACTATTTAGAGAAGTATTGGGATGTGAAGGACAATCTGATTTGCTTTGAAAACTATTAAGGGGATGTAAAAACAGAAAAGAGATGGACTTAAAATGATAAATATGTGAACATTTGTTACCTATAGTTATATGATAAAAGATTAGAAACATGTTAGAATGTAAGATTTGAGCTGGTGGTGGAAACGCTGTTGGAAGCCTATGAAAGGGAGGGGAGTAAGTAGAAAAGGATATATATTGAAGTTGATATAATGCGAATGTGTATTATCCTAATAAAAGTTGTTTAAAAAAAAAGGCTTTAGAGAGTTGTGGCATGACAGCTATGCAGATTTTGGGGTGGGGTTTCATTTTGCCTTGGGGTTGGAGCAGAACTTCCTTGGGAAACACTCAGAGCTTCCAACGGCAGATTTAGAAAACAACAACTCAACCACTCCATGTTTTACATCATACAAAGGGTGCTAAATACAAAAATTCCTACCAAAGCCCAGATAAAAGAAGAGCCCGGCAGAGATTAGCAGTAGGCACTAACAGGACATTAATTCATAGGTTCAGGTGGGTAGCTGTGTTGGTCTGAAGCAACGGGACAAAGTTTGAATCCAGTGGAAACTTTAAGACCAGCATAGTATAAGTCTGGATTTAAGCTGTTTTGTGCGTGCACACTTCTTCAGATACATTGAAACAGACTTTGCCAACCATTACATACAGGTACAGGGGGGGCTGGTTAGTTGCCAGGAAGGGCTAATTAGAAGCAAGATGCAGAAGTAATTGAGCAATAAATATAGCTGGTGAGATTGGATTAAAGCAGTTAAATCCTGTGAATAGCAGCAAATTAGTATACAGATAATTAAAAGAGTTAACAAACACGCGAGAACTGAATGACTTAGCATGCAGTGAGATAAGAACCTGATATTTCTGTTAAGCCCTGGAACTGCATCATGCAACTAAAGACACACATGAAATCGGTACTATGAAGGAACCATAAATGTTCAACGGTGCAACTCCACAGGATGCAGAAACCAATATATGGCCCCGGTCACACGGCAAAGTTGCCGCAGGAGAGGCACGGATGGTGGGCGGATTATCCGGGCGCGATCACACCCCAACATCTGGTAAGTGGAGCGCACCCGTGGCTTACCGCCGACAATGCGGATTTAAAAACGAGTACTTCCAAGGTACTAGTAAACGTTTGCCACGGGCTGCCTCCAGACGCCCGTAGTATGATCGTGCCGGTGCACGGCATTCCCCTCCGGTCCCTTGTTTACCTGCTGGCGCCGAGGGAAGAACCCGTGCTGTGCCGCTCGTAATCGCGCATCAAACTGCGCCGGGGCAATTAGCCACCCCTCCCCCCCCCCGCAATATCTGGCCTGTGTGACTGGGGCCAAAAATAGCCTTCCCAACACCCCCCCCCAAATAAATGCCCAAATCCCACGTTAAGGATCATCACACACTTTTCTGTGATCGTACATGTTATGAAATGAGATTAAAGAAATGGCATCACCACGTCGGATTAAGAAACCAGTTACATAAACAAGGGAGGGGGACAACTCCTGAAAATATTTCAGTCTTTTTCCAGTGTCGATTAAGAAACACTGAGCTGGATCCTGAAGATCCATTCTTCTAGCAGCAGTGCCTTCCTCTGGTGCAAGTGGTCTTCTGCTAGAGGGAGAGACTTGCATCGGAGGCGATGCCACTATTAGTAGAACGTGTCTACAGAATCCAACCCATTCAGATACCATTCGGGTATCTGCAAGCAGAATTCAGGAGTGCCTGACATACGTGTGCTTCTCGGGAAGTCTACAGGCCAGTTCACAGATGCATGGACATTACTTGAACTCCCATCACTTAGTCATCCAGTTATCCAACGCTCGATGGCTTGCAGTTTGATGTACAAATTAGCTGTTGAGAAGCACTGTTCGTGGGAGCTGAGAAAGCCCACATAATCGAACAATCCGGTTAAAAGACAATAAGCCACCCCCTGACAATTATATATACACATATATCCTGCCAAGTTGTATCAGCCGATCACAAGGCTTATGGAGTAGGATACATACCTTAAATGAACTGTGCACTAGTGTTTCGTCTAGATCAATGACCACACATTTCTTTCCATAATCTGATATTGTCATTTCGGGTAGGAGGTATTTAGCTGGTGGCTTAAAATAGAAAACACAGGAACATCATGAGAGGCATAACCCCACTAGGGCTGCTGCAGTAGTAAATCAGCAACAAACAGCGATAGAAACATGTGCTTGAAGTAGCTGTGAGTGGCTTAGGTGACACGAAACGGGAAGCTTCCTAGGTGCCAGTGTTCCCTCTAAGATGAGTTAGCGTGAGTTAGCTCACAGTTTTTTAGCCTCCGGCTCACACATTTTCGTCTTTGCTCAGGAAGGAGGGCTCCAGAGCAGACTGATTTATGCAGCAGCCAAATCGCTCGCTCACAACTTTAATGCCAGGAGCTGAGAAAGTAGAATTTTCACTCACAAGACTCCACAGCTTAGAGGGAGCATTGCTAGGTGCCGGCATGCATCACATTGTAAGATTACAAGGGGTCATTCTATGGTGAGCAATCTTCTGCAGAAACTCCCAAACCTCAGGAGGTGGTCAGATATGTAAGTTTTAAGTTAGCTCGTTTTTTGTTTTTTTTAAAGGAGTGCATTTGTGCATATGCGGGAGACACGGCAAGAAGAGATGGGAAAAAGATACCAAACAAAGCTAAGAAAGTCCTACTGCTTACTAGTCTAGCAAAATTAAGTCTAACCAATAAAAGTCCGAAGACCAAAACAAAAAGGAAAGCAAGCAGAAGAAGAAGAAAAGAAGAGATTGGATTCATACCCCGCCCTTCACTACCCAAAGGTGTCTCAGAGCGGCTTACAAACTCCTTTCCCTTCCCCTCCCCACAACAGACACCCTGTGAGGTGGGTGGGGCTGAGAGAACTCCGACACAAACTGCTCTTTTTCAAGGACAGCTCTGACAGAGCTTGTGACTGACCCAAGGTCACATCAGCAGGTGCAAGTGGAGGAGTGGGGAACCAAACCCGGTTCTCCCAAGTTAGAGTCCGCGCACTTCACCACTACACCAAACAGGCTTTGCCATTGGGGAACCCAACTCCAACTTAGTACAAAGTGTTAACTGAGCATGAGAAGGGGCTCTTCTGCACTGTCGTCTTTGTCAGCTGTTTCTCCCTATTGTTCCCCCCCCCTCCCCTTTCCACGTGTACTTTGCTCCCTCTGAGACTACGAGAGAGAGCGAAACACATTGGGAGAAAAAACCCTGAAGCAACAGGAACACACAAGTAATGAAAATCAGAATGCGGAAGAGACCATCATGTCTTCCTGCTGGGGAACCAAGAATTCTTACACAGATCTCTTATCCGCAAGGGGGACACACACAACAACCTGTCCTGTTGGATCATTCACCTATGGATACGCCTTCTGACTAGCTGTCAAAAGCCAGATACTTAGCTGAGTTATCGCAGAACTTATTTCAACATTTAGAACTTGCCCTGACAAAATGAGACTTTTGGCGTCCCTCACCCGATAACCCTGAAATGGGGTCTCTCTCACAGGCTTTAAGGGAAAGCAATGAAGCTTGGTATGAACATAAGAGAACATAAGAGATGCCAATGTTGGATCGGGCCAATGGCCCATCCAGTCCACCACTCTGTGTCACACAGTGGCCAAAAATACCAGGTGCCATCAGGAGGTCCAGCAGTGGGGCAAGGACACTAGAAGAAGCCCTCCCACTGTTGCCCCCCCCCAAGCACCAAGAAGACAGAGCATCCCTTGCCCCAGCCTGAGAGTTCCTACCTGTACCTTGTGGCTAAGAGCCACTGAGGGACTTCTGCTCCATATGCTTATCCAATATCCTCTTGAAACTGTCCATGCTTGTAGCTGCCACCACCTCCTGTGGCAGTGAATTCCACGTGTTAATCACTCTTTTTTAAATCCATGACAGATTAATCCTCTTAATCACAGCTTGAGATGGTGTGTGTGGAACAGGTGGATGAATATTTATGTGTGCTTGTCTTTTAGACTATATTAGTGCCAGGGCTCTTTTTGTAGAAAAAGCCCAGCAGGAACTCATTAGCATAATAGGCCACACCCAACACCAGAAACTCATTAGCATATTAGGCCACCTCCCTGACAGCACAGCTCATTAGGCCGCACCCCCATGTTACCAGAAGTGTGGTCATCCAGCCACACCCACCTTTCCCTTCTTATTCTGTTTACCTTGTTTGTTGTCAAAACCCAGGGCCTTTTCTTGGAGCAGGAACTCCTTTGCATGTTAGGCCACACACCCTGAGGTCTTCTTTGATGATTTTTACACTGGCCACATCAAGCTTATCATCCAGCCTGGGAATTCAGACCACAGGGAGAGGCCCTTGTGACTGTCCCACTAAAGGAGCTCATCTGATAGGACACATGAGAGAGGGCCTTTTTGGTGGCAGCCCCACGGTTATGGAACCACCTCTCCCAGGAGGAGTGCCTGGCCCCCTCACTTTTGATCTTCAGGACAAAGCTGAAGAGAGTTTGATTTATGACTGCATTTGACTGATTTTCATTTTTATTTATTGACAGTCCTAACTGAAATTTCTTTTACTCAGTAAAGGAAGCCACGGCCCCCAGTCTGCAAGGCTTGAGAAAGCCTGTACATGATGGCACATTCTGGAGGTCATCGATTCACAGGGTTGCCGGAAGTTGGAAGCAACTTGAGAAACTGGACACACACAATCGAGATTTTAAATTGTGGTCTTGATGTCGTTTTATGCTTCTTTAGAAGAAGAAAAAGAGATTGGATTTATACCCCACCCTTCCCTACCCAAAGGAGTCTCAGAGCGGCTTACAAACTCCTTTCCCTTCCCCTCCCCACAACAGACACCCTGTGAGCAATGTTCCCTCTAAGCTGAGTTAGTGTGAGCTACCTCACAGTTTTTTAGCCTCCGGCTCACACGTTTTTGTCTTAGCTCAGGAAGGATGGCTCCAGAGCAAACTAATTTATGCAGTAGCCCAATCTCTTGCTCACAAATTTAATGCCGGGAGCTCACAAAGTAGAATTTTTGCTCACAAGACTCCACAGCTTAGAGGGAGCATTGCCTGTGAGATAGGTGGGGCTGAGAGAGCTCTGACAGAAACTGCTCTTTTTCAAGAACAGCTGTGCCAGAACTATGGCTTGCCCAAGGTCACCCAGCAGCTGCAAGTGGAGGAGTGGGGAATCAAACCTGGTTCTCCCAGATTAGAGTCCGCACACTTAACCACTATACCAAACTGGCACTTTACACAGAAAGTGATTACACTGCCACAGGAAGTGGTGGCAGCTACAAGCATGGATGGCTTCAAAAGGGAATTAGATATGGAGCAGAGGTCCATCAGTGGCTATTAGCCACAAGGTATAGATAGGGGCTCTGGGGCAAGTGATGCTCTGTCTTCTTGGTGCTTGGGGGGGGGTCAACAGTGGGAGGGCTTCTGATGTCCTGGCCCCACTGGTGGACCTCCTGATGGCACCTGGTATTTCTGGCCACTGTGTGACACAGAGTGTTGGACTGGATGGGCCTTTGGCCTGATCCAACATTGGCGTCTCTTATGTTCTTATGTAATGTGGAATTAGCTGCCAGAGGACGTAGTGTGGGCCACAGACACAGACAGCTTTAAAATGGGATTAGACAGATTCATGGAGGAGAGGTCTATCAATGGCTAGGAGCCATGGTGACTAAAGGGAACTTCCATGTTCAGAGGCAATCAACCTCTGAATCCCAGCACTGGGAGGCCACAATGGGGAAGGCCTCAGCCTCTACCCCCTCTTGTTGGCCCTCCAGAGTAACTGGTTGGGCACTATGTGAGACGGGATGCTGGACTACATGCACCACTGGTCTGGTCCAACAGGGCTCTTCTGATTTTCTTAACATATCTGTTAGACTCAATATCAAAAACCTGTGAGCACAAATAAAAAAAATTCAATACATACACTTGGAATGGGAATGACCTGCATCTGGTCACCCTAGGGGGAAAAAAGAAAAAAAAAATCACAGTCAGAACGGCGTCTTCTGAAAGAACAGAACTCAAAAGGGATTCAAATTAACAGATTTTTGGTACTCAAACCATTCCAACAGAAAACAAAAAGATAAGAAACCAGTTAAGTAAAGAGAAGACCCAGCACTATGGCAACTAAAGTCATCAGTCAGTCCCATAAAATCATACAAAAGCTTTCAAAAGAACAATGAGCTGATAGATCCCTTGCTGGTAACGCTTATATTCTCCATGGCTATGGCTTGAAAGCTATTGTGGAGTGAAAAAGACAGAATGGTGGATGTTGCAGCCGCACAGGTGCTTAGCGATTGCTGTGCACAAAATCCCTGGTTTAATGATTAAAATTAACATGCGGTGTAATTGGCAGGCTTATATGCAGTCATTTCCCAACAATACGCTCGCTTCTCACACGTGCAAGATTACACTCTCAGATGTTAAAAACACTGCCAGTATTCTGTCTGTTCAAGATTATCTCAGCATCACTTTTTTTAACATGACCTAATAAATGCTGCAAGGCACAGTGAAATGCAAACTTTTTTTTTTTGCGGTGCCTACTGTACAACCTGCAAAAAACACAACAGCAGTATACATCACAGTAATAGAATAATAGAATCATAGAATTGGAAGGGATCTCCAGGGTCTTCTAGTCCAACCCCTTACACAATGCAGGAAATTCACAAATACCTCCCCCCCACACACTCCCAGTGACCCCTGCTCGATGCCCAGAAGATGGCAAAAAACTCCTCCAGGATCCCTGGGCCAAACTGGCCTGGAGAAAAGTGATGCATGACCCCAAAGTGGTGATCCGCATTTCCCTGGGCATGTAAGAAAGGGCCATGAGAACTAAGCACTGAGGCAACCCCACCTGCCCTCCCTCTCATGATCTGCCTAAGTTCACAGAATCCGCATTGCTGTCAGATGGCCATACAGCCTCTGCTTGAAAACCTCCCAAGAAGGAGAGCCCACCACCTCCCGAGGAAGCCTGTTCCACTGAGGAACTGCTCTAACTGTCAGGAAGTTTCTCCTAATGTTTAACCAGAAACTCTTTTGGTTTAATTTTAATACCTTGGTTCTGGTCTGACCTTCTGGGACAACAGAAAACAACTACGCACCATCCTGTATATGACAGCCCTTCAAATACTTGAAGGGGGTTATCATATCACCACTCAGTCGTCTCCTCTCCAGGCTAAACAGAACCAGCTCCTCCAACCTTTCCTCATAGGATGTGGTCTACAGACCCCTCACCATCTTCCTTGCCCTCCTCTGGACACTTTACAGCTTGTCTATATCCATTTTAAATTGTTGTGCCCCAAACTGAACACAATACTCTAGGTGAGGTCTAACCAGAGCAGAGTAAAGCGATACCATCACTTCATATGTTCTACTATTCTTATGTTAACAAAGCCCAAAATTGCATTTGCCTTTTTAGGTACTGCATCACACTGCTGACTCATGTTTAGTATATGGTCTACTAAGACCCCTAGTTCCTTCTCGCACATACTTCTGCCAAGACAAGTCTCCCCCATCCTATAATTATGCATTTGATTTTTCCTACCTAAATGCAGAACTTTAAATTTATCCCTGATAAAATTCATTTTGTTTTAGCCCAGTTTTCCAGCTTGTCAAGATCAGCATGTATCCTCCTGACTCGGTCTTGTACCATATTTGCTACCCCTCCCAATTTAGTATCATCTGCAAATTTGATAAGCATTCCCTCTATTCCTTCATCCAAATCACTTATAAAGATGTTGACAAAACAGGTCCCAGGATACATCTTTGAGGCACTTTACTTGTCACTCTTCTCCAAGAGGATGACGAATCATTCACAACCACTCTTTGGGTGCGATCTGTCAACTAATTACAGATCCACCTAACAGTAACAGGATCCAAACCACATTTTACCAACTTGTCAACAAGAATATTATGTGGAACCTTATCAAAAGCCTTACTGAAATCAAAATAAACTATGTCTACAGCATTCCCCTGATCCAGCAAGGTAGTAACTTTATCAAAAAAAGAGATAAGGTCAGTCTGACATAACTTGTTCTTGGGAAACCCATGCTGGCTCTTAGTAATCACAGCCATCCTTTCTAAATGCTCAAGGACTGACTGACTATTTGTTCTAAAACTTTTCCAGGTATAGACGTCAAGCTGATGGGTCGGTAGTGACCCGGATCCTCCTTTTTCCCCTTCTTGAAGATGGGGAAAACATTTGCCCACCTCCAGTCTTCTGGCACCTCACCTGTTCTCCAAGAATTCTCCAAAATAATGTACAGAGGCTCAGAAATTGCATCTGCGAGTTCTTTTAGTACCCTTGGATGCAGTTCATCTGGCCCTGAGGACTTAAGTTATTTAAAGAAACTAGGTGTTTATATACTACCCCCTATGCTGATCATAGGCTGCAACTCCCTTCCCTCATCATGTGTTCTGTTTTTGCCATGTTGAACACCATTTCCCTCGCAAGAGAAGACGAAGGAAAAGTAGGAATTGAGCAGTTCTGCCCTCTGCTCAGAAATTGCATCTGCGAGTTCTTTTAGTACCCTTGGATGCAGTTCATCTGGTCCTGAGGACTTAAGTTTTATTTAAAGAAACTAGGTGTTTATATACTACCCCTATGCTGATCGTAGGCTGCAACTCCATTCCCTCATCATGTGTTCTGTTTTTGCCATGTTGAGCACCATTTTCCTTGCAACAGAGGGTCGAGGAAAAGTAGGAATTGAGCAGTTCTGCCCTCTTTTCATCACCTGTTACAATTTCACTTTCCTGTCCCTGCAATGGGCCTACCATATCCTTATTCTTTTTCTTACTTTGAACATAACAAAATACCCGTTTTTGTTGTTTTTAGCATCTCTTGCTAGTTTAAGCTCATACTGAACGTTATTTATTTATTTATTTATTTTTTATTTTATTTTCGACTTATATACCACCCTGACCCCGGAGGATCTCTGAGCGGTTTACACAGCTGTTTATCCCTAACTAGGGCCATATTATTTGTATGGGGGGTGACAACCTACCAGCACCCCGGCCGCGGGCTCAGCTTTTCTAACACTCTCCCTACAAGCACTGGTTATTTGTTTATATTCATCCTTCGTTATAAGGCCCTCCTTCCATTTCCTAAATGAGTCTTTTTATTTCTCAAATCTTTAAAAATCTGCTTATGGAGCCACCTTAGCTTCTTTAGGCAAGTACAGCTGAGCGTGTCTAGTAATCCAAAGCCATGTCTGGTAGATTGGGCCTACATACATTATGCCATGGTGTTTCTTGACATGGGAACGCTGGAGAATTCAAGTTATTTTTAGGCTCTTGTAAAACAAGAGATGCAGTGCTTCAAGCCCAACTCTATGACAGCCTGTGACGCTAATTCCAGAGGTATGGTGTGGAAGGCTGCGGTTATTCAGAAGGAAGGAAATGACACACGACGCAAGTTCAATCACTGCTATGGCTTCATTTGTCCCAAGGCTTAGTCTTAGTAAACTGTGGCTCCTTCACTTGTCATAAAATCTATTTTACAACCATCTGCCACCTTCGAATTCTTGTTTAAACGGTTATCTTAATTCCCCTTCAGCCTATGAAAAACATAAACCCAGCTGTGTCAGTTTGAATGAGTTAATGAGTTTCAGAGCAACTGAATCTACCGCGGGAAAAAATCAGAATCTCATTGTACCCACTTCAGTACCCTTCGGTTCGTTTCCCATCTTCATTACTGCCATCTTTAAAGCAACCCAGAAGACACGAGGCAAAATATGCTTTTATGTTTTATTACAATTCCAGAGTTATCAATACCGGCTTTTTAGATGAAGAAGAAGAGTTGGATTTATACCTCACCCTTCATTCAGAGTCTCAAAGCGGCTTGCAATCACCTTCCCTCCCCACAACAGACACCCTGTGAGGTAGGTGGGGCTGAGAGAGCTCTGAGAGAACTGCTCTTGAGAGAACAGCTCTGAGAGAACTGTGACTGACCCAAGGTCATCCAACTGGCTGCATGTGGAGGAGTGGGGAATCAAACCCGGTTCTCCCAGATTAGAGTCCGCCGCTCTTAACCACGACACCGAACTGGCTCCCAAACCAAAGGAACCCTGCCTTGGGTTTCCCAGACTTTGGCCTCTCCCCTCGTCATGTCACGTTATGTTGCGTGATCCGCGCTGGATGCCAAATCCCACCTTTCTGCATTTCACTCCCATCAACTGGACAGCA